AGCCTACTTGGTCGTGGTGAATAATCTTTTTGATGTGTTGCTGAATTCGGTTTGCCATTATTTTGTTGAGGATTTTTGCATCAATGTTCATTAAGGAGATTGGCCTATAGTTCTCCTTTTTGGAGGTGTCTTTGCCTGGTTTTGGGATAAGTGTAATACTGGCTTCATAAAATGTGTTTGGCAGTTTTCCTTCCCTTTCTATTTGTGGAACAGTTTAAGGAGGGTTGGTATCAGTTCTTCTTTAAAGGTCTGATAGAATTCAGCAGAGAATCCATCAGGTCCTGGACTTTTCTTTTTGGGGAGACTCTTGATTGCTGCTTCAATTTCATTTTGTGTTATAGTCTATTCAGGTGATTAATTTCCTCTTGGTTCAGTTTTGGATGATCATATGTATCTAGAAATCTGTCCATTTCTTTTAGATTTTCAAATTTATTTGAATATAGGTTCTCAAAGTAGTCTCTGATGATTTCCTGGACTTCCATGGTGTTTGTTGTTATCTCCCCTTTTGCATTCCTGATTCTACTAATTTGGGTTTTTTCTCTCCTCATTTTAGTCAGGTTTGCCAGGGGTCTATCGATCTTGTTTATTTTTTCAAAGAACCAACTTTTTGTTTCATTAATTCTTTGTATGGTTTTTTTGGTTTCTATTTCGTTGATTTCAGCTCTTATTTTTATTATTTCTCTCCTTCTATTTGTTTTGGGATTTGCTTGTTCTTGTTTTTCTAGGAGTTTGAGATGTATCATTAGGTCATTGATTTGGGATCTTTCATCTTTTTAATATATGCACTCATGGCTATAAACTTTCCTCTCAGACTGCCTTAGCTGTGTCCCATAGGTTCCGGTAGGTTGTGTTTTCATTTTCATTGACTTCCAGGAACTTTTTAATTTCCTCTTTTATTCATCGATGATCCATTCTTCATTAAGTAATGAGTTATTTAGTTTCCAGCTGTTTGCATGTTTTTTGTCTTTACTTTTGTTGTTGAGTTCTACTTTTACTGCATTGTGATCAGATAGTATGCATGGTATTATTTCTATTTTCTTATATTTGCTGAGGCTTGCTTTGTGCCCTAGGATATGATCTATTTTGGAGAAGGTTCCATGGGCTGCTGAGAAGAATGTATATTGTGTAGAGGTTGGATGAAATGTTCTGTAGACATCTACTAGGTCCATTTGATCTATTGCATATTTTAGATCTTGGATTTCTTTATTGAGTTTTTGTTTGGATGACCTATCTATTGATGATAATGGTGTTAAAGTCTCCCACAACCACTGTGTTGGCGTTTATATATGCTTTTAGGTCTTTCAGGGTATGTTTGATGAAATTGGGTGCGTTGACATTGGGTGCATACAGATTGATGATTATTATTTCCTTTTGGTCTATTTCCCCTTTTATTAGTATGGAATGTCCTTCTTTATCTCGTTTGATCAATGTAGGTTTGAAGTCTACTTTGTCAGAGATAAGTATTGCTACTCCTGCTTGTTTTCTGGGGCCATTGGCTTGGTAAATCTTCTTCCAGCCTTTCATCCTAAGCATATGCTTATTTCTGTCGGTGAGATGAGTCTCCTGTAAGCAACAAATTGTTGGATCTTCTTTTTTAATCCATTTTGTCAAACGGTGTCTTTTGATGGGTGAATTAAGTCCATTAACATTAAGTGTTAGTACTGATAGGTATGTGGTGATTCCTGCCATTTAGTTGTCTTAGTTGTTTGAAGGTTTGATTGTGTGTACCTAACTTGATGTTACTCTCTACTGTCTTGCTTTTTCTTATCCTGTGGTTTGGTGCTGCCTGCCTTTTCATGGTTAAGTTGGGTGTCACTTTCTGTGTGCAGGATCCCTTGCAGAATCTTTTGTAATGGTGGCTTTGTGGTCACATATTGTTTTAGTTTCTGCTTATCATGGAAGACTTTTATTGCTCCATCTATTTTGAATGATAGTTTTGCTGGGTAGAGTATCCTGGGGTTGAAGTTATTTTCATTCAGTGCCCGGAAGATCTCACCCCACGCTCTTCTTGCTTTTAATGTTTCTGTTGAGAAGTCTGCTGTGATTTTGATGGGTTTACCTTTGTATGTTACTTGTTTTTTCTCTCTTACAGCCTTCAATATTCTTTCCTTAGTTTCTGAACTTGTTGTTTTAATGATGATATGTCGTGGAGTAGTTCTATTTTGATCTGGTCTGTTTGGTGTCCTGGAGGCCTCTTGCATTTGTATGGAATATCTTTCTCTAGATTTGGGAAATTTTCCGTTATTATTTTGTTGAATATATTACGCATTCCCTTTGCTTGCACCTCTTCTCCTTCTTCGATGCCCATGATTCTCAAGTTTGGTCTTTTGATGGAGTCGGTGAGTTCTTGCATTTTCTTTTCACAGGTCTTGAGTTGTTTAATTAATAGTTCTTCGGTTTTTCCTTTAATTACCATTTCATCTTCAAGTTCTGAGATTCTGTCTTCTGTTTGTTCTATTCTGCTGGATTGGCCTTCCGTTTTGTTTTGCAGTTCTGTTTCATTCTTTTTTCTGAGGTTTTCCATGAATGAACTTTCTTTGTGCTACAGACAATTTACATAGAATGATGGTGATCAAAGTATTGCAGCAGAAGGGGGTGAGAGAGAGAGAGTTTTAGAGGTGTTATAATCTAGTCTTCTAGAATATGGCTAAAGAGTTTCCTTTAGGAACTAAGCAAAATCTTACTAAGTAATATTTTAATTAAGATGTCTTATTTTTAATAACTACCACAAAACTATACAACTAACATTTATATTCTAAGGGCAGCCTTTCATTTCAATGTGTAATATTCAAGTGTAATATTAAATCGCATGTAAGGTATCCCAAAACCTATATCTGCTTAAAGGGGAAGAAAGACCACCTTAGTTCTAATGTTCCCAGTTAATAATTATATAACCTTATGTCAGTCTTTGCATTTTGGCAACTTTATTGTATATGAAATGCACTATTCTGAAAGGATTGAATGGAATATGCATAAAATAAAATATACGTAAAATGTTTTAAACTAGTGTTTTTCAGGATTTTAGAATCACAATCCCATTATAAGTACATTTTACTTGGAGATCTCATATGTATATAATCACAACATAAAACTTACTACTAAACATGATTCATGCTGATATTTTCTGTTTCACTGAAAAGTAAACCTTTAGTAGTGACCCATTATGAGTCATAGTTCAGAGTGTAAAGTACATTATCAATATAAAGAAAAAACTATGAGGTATCTTATTAATAAAGGGTAATGGTACTTAGGATATTTATTGATCTATTACCAAGTCTCACTTCAAAACATTTGAGTATATAGTATGATTAAGTACTTCTATCTTTATTAATAATTTATACAAGATTATGTCTCTAGCTGGACTCTGGTGGCTCATGCCTATAATCCTAGCTACTCAGGAGGATCATGGTTCAAAACCAGCCAGGGCAAATAGTTCTCAAGAACCTATCTTGAAAATACCCAATACAAAAAATGGTTGGTGGAATGGCTCAAGTGGTAGACCACATGCCTAGCAAGCATGAGGCCCTGAGTTCAAACCATAGTACCATCCAAAGAAAAAGATTATGTCTCTACATTTTCAGTTCTAACCATCTTTTTCCCTAACAAGTAGGCTAGAAATAACTTATAAATAGTTAAAAGAGATACCTAAGTTTATCTTTTCAATAATGACATTTAAATGGTTTCTTAGAGATTGTTTCTTATATTAGAGATGGTAAATTTCTAGAACTGATAGTAACCTTGAATCCTTATTTTTAAATTAGATAATATTTTTAATACTGAAAAAATTCGTATTTTTTCCCACATCACTTAAACAAGATTTGCAATTAGAAAGACAGATGTCATTAGTAAGACTTTGATATAGTGAATTAAAATTTTCCAAACACTTGGTTATCATTTGGCTTTCTAAAGAAGTAATAAATGTCTAAGTCCATTATTTGTGGCTGACTAGCCATAAGCTTTCATCTATGCTACATTTTACACAGATGTGTCACAAAAAAGTACATTGCAGCACTTTCCATAAAAGGCATTTGTGCTTTCGTAGTCACTAAGAAAATGACTAGGATCCTTAGTGATCTTCTTGCATAGGTTATGCTGTACTGGAGAAACCATGACTATGAAATGTCTGCTGCCATGTCACATTATCCTTTCCAGTGAACACTTGGTTAGAATGGGAGTTCTGTTTACAGTAGGGACTCCCTGCCTCCTCTCTCCTAAGTTTAACTTCCTCTATTTCTATAGTTAGGAATCATACCCTAGTTTAGAAATAGATGTTGAAAGGCTCACACAACTAGTGGTAGCATGAAAGATAACATGTAATTTTGTAAATTTATAAATAGTTTTTAATTTTTTTTTGGCAGATAAACATGATTAAAGTGTTAATGTCTTTGCTTTGCATAGAACCCAAACCTTTCCAGACTAGTAGGAAATCTGTTGTTGTGTATGTAATACAGTGGAAAGAATTATGTGATCTAATGCTCAACTAATCTATCAGAAGACTTTGGATATGTGTTTCCCTGTTTTCTGTGACCTTTTGAAGTTGGGCCCCCACCACCTTGTTTTTAAGGCTCCTGGCTGAGTTGAGCAATAGAAATTGTTCAATAAACAAAGAAAGTATCTCTTGTTAAGCAATTATTAATATAATAGGAAAAATTTATAAAATTTCAATTCCTAAGTGTAAGTTATAATCAGTTCGATTTAAAAATAATAAACAGTGGAATATATGTAACAAACTATGTAAAGCATAATTTTGATTTTCTTTGATTCAGGAAGTTGTGGGTGTGTAGACATACTGGTTAAAAGTATTATACATAATATTTTAGTACTTGCAAAGTATTTTCTTAATAATTTCTCCCAGTACTTACTGATTATTCTAAATTATATTAGCAAGTCTGTATACTACTCTCTATATAGTAGTCCCATAACTAAGTTTATTAAAGCTGTCAACAATTTGATATACTTGAGGGAAAAAATTCTGATTGATTCTGATCTTTTTCTTGCAGAAGAGTCACCATCCACATAATGGATTTTATAGATCATATTTCTCTATTCTGGGTATCAGTAACAATACAGAAAGTATACTTAATTTCTCATTTCTACAAGTATTCATGACTATTAAAGAAAATCTTCAAGCTACAGCAGAGTTCATTTTGGTACCGTTTTTGGAAATCCTGATTTTAACTTTTTGCTAAAGGTATGAAAAAGCAAAGAACTTATTAGGCAAATCCACATCAATAAGAATGTCTAGAAGAGGATCAGTTCTTCACATCAGGACCCACTGGCTACTATTGGGCCTCGCTTTGCTCTGCAGTTTGGTATTATTTATATACCTTCTGGAATGTGCCCCCCAGACTGATGGAAATGCATCTCTTCCTGGTTTTGTTGGGGAAAATTATGGTAAAGAATATTATCAAGCCCTCCTACAGGAGCAAGAAGAACATTATCAAACCAGGGCAACCAGTTTGAAACGCCAAATTGCCCAGCTAAAACAAGAATTACAAGAAATGAGTGAGAAAATGAGATCATTGCAAGAGAAAAAGAATATAGGAGCTAATGGCATAGGCTACCAAGGCAACAAAGAACAAGCACCTAGTGACCTTTTAGAGTTTCTTCATTCTCAGATTGATAAAGCTGAAGTTAGCATAGGAGCCAAACTACCCAGTGAGTATGGAGTCATTCCCTTTGAAAGTTTTACATTAATGAAAGTATTTCAGTTGGAAATGGGTCTCACTCGTCATCCTGAAGAAAAGCCAGTTAGAAAAGACAAACGAGATGAATTGGTAGAAGTTATTGAAGCTGGCTTGGAGGTCATTAACAATCCTGATGAAGATGATGAACAGGAAGATGAGGAGGGTCCCCTTGGAGAGAAACTGATATTTAATGAAAATGACTTCATAGAAGGTAATATGAAAATATATTGATAAATAGTTATGTTAGTATGACAAAAGGCTAGTATTATATACTTATATATCAATCGTTACCACAGTATTACAATATTTTTTACCCACTTTGTTTCACTAAAAATTTGAAGCAGCTTTTTGGAAAAAGTTATAATGAGACCATAATAAAAATGAGAACAAGAACCAGAGAAATAGAATAAACTTAAGCCTAAATACAAAAATATTAATTTCAGAGATTGAAAGGCTCTTATGGGCAGTGTGTATATTTGCATGGCTATGTTCTGCATTCCTCTCTTATCTAATCTTGATGGTTCTTTTTTATGTTTTTAAAAATGTATGAACTAAGGCCCCAAATTTGAAAAATATTTGATAAGAAAAAAAACTAGTGGTTATTTTCCATTTTGGAGGAAGGAGAAGCATATGGCCAGTATATTAAATACATAGTTTTGTATTTTGACCATTTGGAAAAGTAAATAAATAATATGTTTTCCTAATAGAGATTGCAAAAAGGACTCTGGGATTTTTTTAAGATCCCAGATTAAGGAACACTGCTATAAATTTATTTGTTGATTGATCTAAACAGAAATAATTATAGATCCCTACCCATCTCCCTCTTAAAACCCCTCGCTAAAATGGCCTAAACCATTTTGGATATAAATATTTCTTAAAAATTCTTTTTGCTTGATTCTGTAAGTAGTTTACCACATACAGTGTTTTGTTTTCTTTACCCCAAATCATGGCTACCAAGGAGGGCATTGTGCTTTGCTGGAGCATTTCAGATGTCCTCTCCCTATGGCCTTCTCTTCTGCTGTCACTTCCTACCATTTTTGATGGGTTGTTTCTCTCAAAACTCTTCTGTTCTATAAGCTTAGCTTTTTGCTTTCTCACTCTGTGTAGTTTATGGGAAAATTCAAAGCTACAGAAGAAATAAGATGTTAAGTAATGTGTGAAATGTCCTCACATCAGCTCTGCCCCAAAAGAAAGGACTGTGGCAGTTTTATATTCTGCAGCTTCTGTTTGTCTTGTAACTGTCCTAAGATTGTGCCACTTTCAGGTATTTCTCTGCATGGAATGTATTCTGTCCTTTTTTCCTCCACTGTGCCACTGCCCTCTAAATAATTCCTGGGAACCACTGAGTATCTCTTATTCTTCTCCAGGTCTTAGTTAAATGTCACTACTTCCAAGAAGTTATCTCCAATCTCAATTCTAAAATAGAAGTGCTTCCTGTGTGTTCTTGTCACCTTTACACTGTATCCTTTCTCAGAGGGCTTGTTGTAATACTGAGATGCACATTTCCTGGTTCCGTGTTCCTGCTAGACTATAACCTCAGGATGGTTGGGGCAAGTCTGTCTTGTTCATCATTTTGTTCCCAGAAGTTGACTGAGTGACTCACGTACCTCTAAGTCTAACATTCTCTTTCCTGAAGGTCACACTTAAAAATCAGATTGCCCTTCCAAAAATCAGGTAACTTCCAATACTTTTCTCCTAAAGGCATCTCAGATCACTGTTAAAATCAACAGTAATTTTTCTCGTCTGATTCTATTCACACACACACACACACACACACACACACACACACACACACAGAGTATGTCATATACTGTATTGGTACTATTTATTTATTTTTCTGTCTTCCTCACTAGATTGACTCTTCCTCGTAACTGAAACCTTATGGTCTCTATATCATCAGTAATTGACATGAAGGCATTTGATTCATTTTTGTTGAGTTGAACCAAGCAATAGAAGTTTTGACTTTTGGGCTTAGAATTTAATATTGCTAGAAGTAATTTGTCATATGGTTAGAGTAATGATGGTCTCTAGTATCATAAAAAGTCTCATGTAAAAAGGAATAGTTATCATGTAGAGGTTATTTTATGGATTCAATATTATAGCAGAGCAATAAGCTTTTTTTTTTTAAATGAAAGAAAAGTGGGAATATTTTCACAAGTAGATAAAAACCCTACAGGTCTTGTTTAATATGTTTGATCTTTGAGTAAAGACTATATTCTTACTGAATTTGTAAACTTTAACATGAACATGTCTTTGTCCCAAACTCTTTGCTTTAGGTTATTATCGCACTGAGAAAGATAAGGGAACACAGTATGAACTCTTTTTTAAGAAAGAAGACCTTATGGAATATAGACATGTGACCCTCTTCCGTCCTTTTGGACCTCTCATGAAAGTGAAGAGTGAAGCAATTGACATTACTAGATCAGTTATTAATATCATTGTGCCTCTTGCTGAAAGAACTGAAGCATTTGCCCAGTTTATGCAGAACTTCAGGTAACTCAGGACTTACTGATCTAAGTTTGTGTTGGTGTGGTATGTTTATATATATATATTTTTTGTACTGATTGGGGGTACATTATGGCACTTACAAAAGCTCTTATATCAGATATCTTGATATATTAAATATATTGATATACTTGAATTCACCCCCTCCACCATTCTCCTTTATCCCCTTCCTTCCCCTTCTCATTCCTGGAATAGTTTTAGCAGATATCAGTTTTCCAATTACACACGTGTGCACAATATTTGCACCATATTTGCCCTCTTATATGCTTTCCCCACATTTTGCGTGTTTGGGGTTTTTTTATTGCCTGGAATTTCCTTTAATGACTACTAGAACGGCAATAGCAAAATCCAAAAGATTGAATGAGAATTAATAATCAGTGGGGTAATTAAAGAGGAAAAATAAAGGCTTTGCATTTTTAGTTGTTCCAGGCATTCCTTTTAAAATCATATTTTGTGCAGACTTACCTACTTTATCTTCACTGCAGGTGTTTACTTAGAATTGTAGAATAATTTTATAGGCTTTAGGGAAATCTCATTTTTTTAATTATCCTTTTTCTTGACACATGTATGGTATATTATATTTCTTAACAATTTGAGCTATGGCATAATTTGAGGGTGCCAACTATTAGAAACTGATTTTGATGGCCTTTATAATGTGTAAAATCATTTGAGGACAAGTTAAACTTTTAGAAATCAATTTTACTTAGGCAAAATTTATGTACAATAAAATCCATGTATTTTAAGGTTAATTGAAACGATATTGTAAAGACGAATCATATTTTCATGACTTTTGACAAGCATATATGCTCACAAACCATCCCCTCAATCAAGATACAGGCATTGCTATGTCTCAAGAAAATCCCCTTGAGAACAATTTGAGTTTTAAGATTGAAATAAGGGACTGGCAGACTGGCTTAAGCAGTAAGAGCACCTGCCTAGCAAGCGTGAGGCCCCAAGTTCAAACCCCAGTGCCATTAAAAAAAAAATTGAAATAAGTTTAGAAATACAAATATTCAGCTAAAAATGGGAGAAAATTACTTCATTTTGGGAAGCAGAGTTTTTATGTTTTTCTTTTTTGGTCATTACATTTGGATAATTTTAAATGATGAAGTATTAACGAATTAAATATTACATATTAGAATAGCTATTTGAGAAAAGTACTGCTTTTTGCTCTCAGTTAGCAATTGTCATGTTCTGATCATTTTAATATACTAGTTTAAGTGCTTTGTGATCCTAATCCTTAGTCTCATATTAAAAGGTTGGTTAACACTCTGCTATAGCAGAATATCTAGAAGTCATACTTCTAAAAATGAGTTTTACCTGTTTGAAATAACTTGCTTAGGATATGAGTCCCTAAAGAAATTTTTTATTGCCTTTCTTGCAATTGCCCTTGGAAGCTACATTATTCTTTACAGTAAGTAATCTGAGTCATTGCAAATATTTATTCCTTGATGACAGAAATAATTTTTATAATTATCCAGTTTGAGGACAAAGTAACTCTTGATCCAAAACTTGAATATTTATTTATTTTGTTCTGAACTGATTGAATTTACTTACTTGACTAGCTTATAATTTGTTTCTAAAGCAATCCCAAGCAAATGTTCCAAAAATGTTTTGAAATATGGCAATAATGTTGGACTGCTTCCATGGTCCTGAGAGGTTGCACTCCTTGACATAGACCTTATACCTTTGCTGTGATACCTTCAACAATTAGGCAATACTGTCACCTTTATATTTTAATGCTTCACGTGATTTCATTCTGTATCAGTAGTGCCTCATTCATTTTCTTGTCAAAGCCTTCACGTGATTATATTTTGAATGAGAAGTGTTTCTTGAACAAACTTTATTTTTCAATTCCATTAGGGATGTTTGTATTCATCAGGACAAGAGGATTCATCTCACAGTGGTGTATTTTGGTAAAGAAGGTCTATCTAAAGTCAAGTCTATCCTAGAATCTGTCACAAGGTTGGTGAGCCATGTTCATAGTGAAGTCTTTGATATTTAACTTAAATAGAAGAATGAGAATTTCACTCCAAGTTTGGTTCATCATGCCTATAATCCCAATACTTGGGAGGCTGAGGCAGGAGGTTTGCAAATTCAAGGCTAGCTTAGACTGCATAGAGAGACCCTGTCTCAAAAAATAAAGGAAAAAAAAAAGAGAATTTCAGATATCTAAGGAGTTAATTTTGAATAGCTGCTGTTTAAAAGTTGGCTGGGCATGAGGGTGGGGGTGACAGTGATAGTAAGTTCCTCATTTCACATGCAACTATACACAACTCATCTTTCCCTTAATTAGTTAGCAGACAGCCTAGCATGATCAGGATTCTATCCCTCTGTGGCCTACTCACATGCTGTACACTTGCTTCTTCTTTCCCTTTTTCTGTACTTTGATATTGTAATCTCCTGAGTTTGTGTCTTCCTTATCACCTTTCTTTCCTTCTATTTCCTCAAGGTCCATCTCTTCCTGCAAATGGTGCTTAGGTCTTCCATATGGTTAAAAATCCCCACCTGATTCTGCAGTATGCAATAGCTATTTTGTTTTTGTCCTTTCACAGCCAATCAAACCTCACAGAAAAGTAGTTGTATAACTAAGTAGCCCATATAGTACCTGGCACACAATAGGTGCTCAGAGGTTTAAATGAATTAATTAGTAATTCCTTAACACTTAATTTTTTTACCTAGCTTCTCAGCCTTTTCCTGTTTCAATTGTGGGCCTTAAGGTACAACCCAATTGCTAAATTAAGCCTTTTTCTCTAAAGCCTCTTTGATGGCTTTTTTACATTTGATAACCCAGCCTTCTTATAATGTTCTTATATTTGTAAAATATAAATATTTTTAATGTAACTGTTGATTGTTTACTCTAACCATACCAACTCTGTCTTTCACTTGCTTCTTTACCTTCCTGCTAGTTATGGCCATTCCCTAAGAGTCCAGATTTGACCAGCCATTCTTCTTGAACTGTTCAGTTAACATTTGTTGAGTCCCTCCTACTATATTCTAGCTATGCTGCTTAGGAGTCTGACTGGGGTAGTTGAAAGAAGACTGGGCACTGCTGAGTGAGCCTCCATCCCTGTCCCACAGGGACTCTCACAGCCTTCATGTACACAACTCACCATCTTCTCCTTCCCCACACTAGTTCTGGGTAGCCCTCTTTCAGCTGAGAGTCAGACCATTTTCACAAGCCCCAAGGCCTAATATCTGAGAGCTAAAGTCTTTTGCTCTTTACCTCTAATTACCTCTGAAGAGTTACTTCCTAATTATGTCACAGGAGCTCTTTTTGTCCCTTCCTTGCTACTGCCACCACCTACCTAATCTCAGTTTTCCCTCCCTCCATTTTTTCTCCTTCTCTGTATTGCCTACTAAGTACCAATCACTCACTCTGGTATTACTGAAGTCATTGCTGTGCTGTCAAGACTCCTGTAGACAATGGTGGAAGCTTACCTTAAGTAGAATAGGAGAAGTATTGAATCTTGGACACCCCCCAGAGATGAAAAGATTGTACAACCAACTTTGGAGATAAAAATCAAAACAACTTTGGGGTCTCAGGGACTAGAACCAGAGACTTGAATACCAGCAAGATTCTCTTGTCATAGTCTTGTCTGTTTTCTCTGCATGTTGACTTCATTCTCCTGTTGCAGATTGGCTTCTTCCACATGGTGAGGGATATGGCTGTTGGCGGCTCTGGGCTCACATCTTCTCAGCTTTGCCATCAGAGAGGACTGAGCTTTCTCCCAGCTCCAGTTGAGAAAATCCCAGGGAAGGACATTTTCCCACTCTTGAGCCAATCACTATGGCCAGGTGGGGTGGAGGTTTTACAGTTGGCACCACTTGAGCCTGGCCCCCACCATTAGAAAGTACTGTGGTTGGGGTTGGAAGATTGAGGGGCATTCTGTGATCAGTCCTCCACGTGGTGCTGGGCATACAGGGTGGTAATGGGCAGTCTCCCCAAAAGAAGGGAGAGATTTATATGCCATAAGATAAGGAGACAAGTTTTGGGCACCCAGAGCACTTGGAGTCTATTCCATGCACTGTGTGAGCCTTTGCTTCAATCTCTCCATTACCCATGCTGTGCTGTTGTAAAGGGAATCTTCCTCGTGTCCTTTTTTTTTTTTTTGATCCAGAAGTATTCTAGTGCAAGTGGATCTCCAAAATTAGTGTCAGAGGCACCTGAGGGCTCATTAAAAGTAGAGGGTTGACTCCACCCTTCACCTTTGAGTCAGTGAGTCTGAAGTGGAGCCTGAAAATTTGCACCTAATTCCTTGCCAGGAGGATCTAATGCTGTGGGTTTGGGGGCCTCACTGTGATAACCATTGCCCTAGCAGATATCCCTGCTGACTGCCCCTTGCCTTTAGAATATTAACCAAGTTCCTTCTGACCCTCCTCTTATTCTTCTAGTCCTTTAGTCTGACCTTCTTTTCATTGTTCTCTTTTTAGGGTCCCTTTGTTCCCATCTGATTTGTCTGACTCCTAAGTACTTTCTCTAAAATGTTTTCTATTTTCTCACCTGTTTGCTTTTAAGAATAATTATTTGGAATGACGTTTGTACTCGCCATGAATTCAGGATTCTAACCAAGATGTAACTCAAATTCTACTTCTGATATCTCTACTCCAGACAGAAGCAATCTCTTCCCATAATTGCTGTTCATTCGTTCAGCAAATATTGAACTATTCTTGAAGGGCACTATGTGATAGTGATGCACAAAACAAAACCCCTTCTCATGTGGAACTGGGGAGGCACCCAAGTAAACATGTCTGGTGGTAGTGAGGAAAGCAGCTGTAGAAGAAGGCAGAAATTGAAGTGCAGGAGATTGGGCTACTTCCTATGTGTTGTCAAGGAGGATCCCTTTGACAAAGGGGTATTTGCACAGAGACATAAAGGAGGTGAGAGAAGAGCACTCTTTGGTGTACCAAACGTGCAGCAATATTATTAGTTACCAAACATTATAGGTAATTTTCCATGTTTGTATTTCTTATCTCCCCAATGGGTTTTTAAGATTTCAAAGGGCAGTGGTGACTTTTTAAATCTTATACCACTAGCATGTTGCCTCAAATGTGATGAATTAGTAAATATTTGTCCCTGATACAGATTAGGGAGGGAATGATGAGGGACTTGAAGCAGATAATTTCCTTTCCCTATATGAATGTAGAACCAATAAAAGTACTTGAAGTATAAAATAGTTTGTAAGTTCTGTTGAAGGAAAAGCATTAACTTTAAGTGGGACTTACCTTTTGTTGTATGTGCTTTCCTCATAGTGAGTCTAATTTTCACAATTACACCTTGGTCTCACTGAATGAAGAATTTAATCGTGGACGAGGATTAAATGTGGGTGCTCAAGCTTGGGACAAGGGAGAGGTCTTGATGTTTTTCTGTGATGTTGATATATATTTCTCAGCCGAATTCCTTAACAGCTGCCGGTTAAATGCTGAGCCAGGTGCGTAAAACATTGGTAGATGAGCTGAGTATAGAATTTAAAACAGTGTCAGCATGTCCCATATGTTGAATCAAGTTCACTTGAGGAAAAGGAAGTTTTTATTAAGCCTAGAGTGTTTTTTCTTAAGTTGATATTAAGCATATTTAATTGGAATACTAAGAGTGAAATTAAAAATTTGATCCTCTGAAGTTCATACCCTTTGTTTTCGTTGGAATTTCCAAAAAGAAATGCAAAGGAATAGAAGTCTGGAAATTGACAAGGAGGAAGCAACTCAAATCAGAAAATGAGCCACACAGATAGAGTGGAGATAGGAGAGTCAGACATACTCAACCTCAGGCAGTAGTGCCCACATGCACACACATTCATGCAGAGGTCTACACACAGGTATTGTTTGGCTTCCACACTGTGCATTTTAAAGTGACTTTCTATACTTTGCTTTATGTTGTAGATATTTCTTGAAAATGAACAAATGAAAGTTTTAAGAATAAAAATGTATTTTAAATAGAAAAGGAAGTTTTCTGTATTAAAGCATCTCAACAGGAGAAATAAGTTCAGGAAATAATATTGTACAAGATGATATAGCTTGATTTATTCATTTCGCACAGTATATGTATATATGGAGAACCTTATGTTGTACACCATAATATATAATTTTTATTTTCCAATCTAATTTTAAAATAATCTTATAGTAAATTTTTTGTGTGTAGAACTATTCATATTATACAAATGACTAATTTGTATTAATCAGTTTGATTAAGGATAGCTGTCAGGAGCTCCCTGAGAGCCTAGTGAGTAACTGTGTGGGCTACATTTGTTTTTATTGTTCCAGAGAGTATGAAATTCAAAATGTGGAAGTTGGAGGAGACATATTTGCTCAGTGGAAAAAAAAATTTTTATATCCAGATACAGATCTACCTCTGGGAAGTTGAGCCTCCCCAGAGGTATATTTGGTCTCCAGATTATGCACTTTGAAGTGATTTGCTATACTTGGATTTGTTTTGCAGACAAATGGGTTTAAAGAGAGGTGGCATGATCTGATTGAAGCCAGTCATAGCAAAGGTTCCTCTACTGAGGGACGTGGGACAATTAGCCATTAAGGTCCCTTCAGTATAGTCACTTTGAATGCCAATGAAAAGGTCTGTTACATCAGGTATTTTTATCCTTCCCAACTTTTCCAGGTCTTGCTCTAAATCTGTCTGCAGTTCTATATTTTATTCATTTTCTGTATATATATGCAGAAAATGCAGTATTCTTTGGATTTACTGTTTTTAATGATTCCATTTGAAGAGTGAATTTAACAGGAGTTTCCAAGTTTCTTGGTAATTGTTAGAAGTTAATTACATCTCTTACTACGATTAAGTGAAATGAGTAATAAATGGGTCACCTAAAGAATAACTAAGAGAATACTTTTGCGTATCTCCCCAAAGTCAAAAGAAATAAACAGGTAAAGCACCTTTTAGTATGGTTTTTTCTCTATTGTTTTGCAGTTATAGCTTCATAGCATAACTTAGTGATGTATTAGAAAAACATCGTCATGTTCATCAAATCAACATGAAATTCTGTAGCTTGAATAGTGATAAAATACAATATTGATAAAGTCATCATATGTGATAAAGACTTTAATAAAGTCTCAGTAGGTACAGTAATAAAAATCAGTCCTTTTATAACATCTTTGTGTGATGAAAACATGTATTTTGATTTTTAGGTAAAAAGGTGTTTTATCCTGTGGTGTTCAGTCTTTACAATCCTGCCATAGTTTATGCCAACCAGGACACACCACCCCCTGTGGAGCAGCAACTGGTGAGACTATTGCATTGTTGCTTATGAAAGATTCCAAAGAGCTTTCCAAAATTCCTTTATGTTTGTTGCATAAATAGAAAATAAAGTTTTAGTAATAAACTGAAGTTATTATAAACACTTTCCATCATCACTTTTACAACCCCACCCCCAGTGAAATGCTTTCATTTTTATTACTTCAGAAGTAAGTAGCAGTGGCAGGGGGAAAAGTTTAGTCCACAAAGGAAAACTTCATGTTCCAGAATGTGGAAATTGCAGTCATGTCTGCCAACCTATTTTTAGTCATACTAAAAATAAAATTACTTTGGAAAATTCCACTAACTAGAAATTAAAGCTACTCTGCTAAATAACTAAAAGGGAATAATTATGGGAAATTTCTTAAGATAGTCATGGAAAGGCAAGTGCCCTAAATCAAAACTATAGTCACTGCCAAATCTATACTTGTATAAGCTTTTTAAATTTTTTAAATAAACTTACTATTTTGCAGTAATTTAGATTATAGAGAAGTTTCAGAGATAGTTCAGAGATGTTCTGTAGTACCCAGTTTCCCCCAGTGTTAACATTGTATATAAACATGTTACATTTGTCAAAATTTAAAAATTAAGATTGGTGATTTACCACTAATTGCACTATAGGTTTTATGAGAATTCTTACCAGTTTTTCTAATGTCTTTTTTGTGTTTCAGGATCCAGTCCAGAATACCAAATTGTTTTAGTATAATCTTTTATTGCTAAAATTAAGAAAAAAGTGGAAACAAATAAACGAAAGAAGGAAAGTAATAAGGATAAAGGCAGAAACTAATGAAATTAAAATGTAGGTTGACAGAGATAAGAGCTTACTGCTTATGTGCAAAAATAGTTTTTTAAGTCACAAAGTGGACAGAATCAAGGTAAAAAGGAAAATATAACATTGGACATTATAATATGAACACATTGAGAGAAACCAATTTTATTTGGTAAGTTTTAAAAATTCTGAATGAAAGAAAGGCTTTGAGAATTTATAAGATATTAACAAGCTAAATATATGTTAGTATTTTATAAATAAAAGAGATGAAAACTCTAAAGACACTAAGAAGCTTTTTATTTTTTTTTAATTTTTATTTTATTCATATGTGCATACAATGTTTGGGTCATTTCTCCCCCCTTCCCCCTCCCTCTCCCTCCCACCCCCTCGATACCCAGCAGAAACTGTTTTGCCCTTCTCTCTAATTTTGTTGAAGAGAGAGTATAAGCAATAATAGGAAGGAACAAGGGTTTTTGATAGTTGAGATAAGAATAGCTACACAGGGAGTTGACATGCATTGGTTTCCCATGCATGTGTGTTACCTTCTAAGTTAATTCTTCTTGATCTAACCTTTTCTCTAGTTCCTGGTCCGTTCTCCTATTGGCCTCAGTTGCTTTTAAGGTATCTGTTTTAGTTTCTCTTTGTTGAGGGCAAAAATGCTATCTAGTTTTTTATGTGTCTTACCTATCCTCATACCTCCCTTGTGTGCTCTTGCTTTATCATGTGATCAAAGTCCAATTCCCTTGTTGTGTTTGCCCTTGATCTAATGTCTGCATATGAGGGAGAACAAATGATTTTTGGTCTTTTGGGCCAGGCTAACCTCACTCAGAATGATGTTCTCCAATTCCATCCATTTACCAGTGAATGATAACATTTCGTTCTTCTTCATGGCTGCATAAAATTCCATTGTGTATGGATACCATATTTACTAAGAAGCTTTTTAAAAAAATTAGAACAGGGTTGGTGGAGTGGCTCAATTGGTAAGAGCACCTGCCTAGCAAGTGTAAGGCCCTGAGTTCAAACCCCAGTGCCACAAAAAAAAAAAAAAGTGTGCTGCAGGTGCATAAATATAATTTTGTTTTTTTGTTTTTGGCAGTACTGGGGTTTGAACTCAAGCCATAGTATTATACCACTTGAGCAAAGCCTCTGCTTTAGTTATTTTTCCAGATCTGTTCTCTTGCCTGTGCTTTCTGTGTAGCCGGAACCATAAGCACATGCCACCATACCCGGCTTATTAGTTGAGATACAGGGTTTTGATAACTTTTTTGTGCCAGCTGCTCTCCAAACCATGATCCGCCTGATCTCTACCTCCCAAACAGTTGGGATTACAGACATGAGCTGCCACGCCTGGCCATGAATACAGTGTTTTAGTGATAAGTTTTTACAGATTCTGAACAGGTGAAATTAATGCTTTATGATCTACTTCAAATTTTTTATGAAGCCAGCATTATCTTGATAGCTTCATGTTGATGCCAATATCTGGCAGAGTACTCCCCCGACACATATCCTCCTCCACCTTGTCTGTAGGCCACTGTTACTTAGAAAATTCAGATACAAATAGGAGCAAACAGAGCACCCAAATCTGCCCTAATCTGACACCTGTAATCCTTCAAAATTTAAAAGAATAGGTACATTTATGTTGCAAAATGAGAGAAACCTTTATCAGGAGGCATAAGTTTTAAAGTTTCTGTAAGATGGCAACAGTTGACATAAGATTGCTAGAAGAGAGAATATTTAGAATGTGTTCAGGAGAACAATGAGAGAAGTAGGTGTGCTCTGAGCTTACAGCAGACAGGGAGTGGAGGGAGCCGGAGAATGCTGAGCAGCAGGCATCCCAGGATTGGCCCTCCATGTGGTCCCTTGAGCTAGAGAAGCAAGTCAGGGTGGGTAGGGAGCCCCCAAACTCCAAAGATGAGCAAACCACTCTGGGTACATTTTCCTGGTGACCACATTCTGCCTATACACTATTATTAGAACTAGGCCCATGTAATCATGGTTGACAGCCATGAATTTTAGAACAATAATTTTTGAAATAACAATGGGTAACTAAGACTAACCAAATGTTTAAGGAAAGCCAATGCTATGAAATTTTAATAAATAGAAAAATTAGCACATGAGAATATGAGTATAGGCAGAAAATAACCTTACATATATCTTTAGAGCAATTAGAGAAAATACTAAATTCATAAAGTAAAATTTGTTGATGAAAAAGAATCACAA